TCCCTCCCTCCCCTCCTCTCTCTTTCTCATGGCAGCTGAGAGCTGTTTCCAATAAACCTGCATTTATATATTATAATTGTCTTGCAATTAGCTCATTCCATCGTTTTCAACCACTTTTTTTTTTTTTTTAAGAGGGGGTAAACTTGCCCCATTCTGTTTCATTAAAAAATATTAGCACAGCCTGGGGTGGGGGTGGGGTGGGGGTGGGGTGGGGTGGGGGTGGGTGGCCATACACACAGGTAGGCACCAAGCTCACACATATAAAAAAAATAAACCTAATTTTTTTTTATTATTTTATTTTATTTTATTTTTTGTTTAATGCCAGCATTAAAAGAGAAACTCCCCCACCCTTCCCTCCTGCTGAGGAGTGGTGTAAGCTCCCAGAAACAAGCGCCAGCTAGGCCCCCAGAGGCTGCCTAATGGAGTGGCCCGGTTGTTCTGTGCTGGTGGTTGTGGTCTAGGTAGCTAAATCTAGTCAGTAACTGCTCCAGGCCTTGTCCCGGGAAAACCCCAGTGAGGCTGAGGCCTCCGCAGAGCACCCTTCTCTGCCCAGGCAGACCAGGCCCTTCCTGTTCTGCTGCTTCTTTTCACCCTCATTCCAGTCTCAACCAGGGCTTCCTCACTGCAGCGCAGTCTGTGTAGAAGCCGACTAACTCGGTTAACTGGGCTTTGCAGGTCCGCTCATGCAAGAAGGTCAGAAGGCAGTGTTGGCGTGAAGGGCGCTCCTGATCCACAGCTCCCTGGGGCAACGGCTCAGAAGGAGCAGCAGCAGCTCCGCTTTCCGCTGAGACGGCCACCCAGCCCCTTCTAAGTCAGCTTTCTCTGCGCTCGCTCCCTCTGCAACCCTCCGGGCCTGGGAGGGGCCGTAGAGAGGAGACCGAGGGGCGAGGTGGATCTGAGACTGTTGTGCTCTGAGCAGGGTTCCTTATCAGCAGACATTTGCATCTTTTATTCCTCCCAAGGGCTGAACAGGTCAAGGAGGCAATTAGCAGAGACACAGTCATCCAGAAGCTAAGGCACAGGGTCTCTTTCCGGAAACCGGACCTCGGTACACGGCAGGCCGCACACTGGCTGAAAGGTTAGCACAAGCGGGATGGGTCCCCAGGGTACTTGGTCACGTGTGATCACGTCTCCTGCGGATGGCCGCTTCCTAATCCTCGGCAAACAGACTCCACTAGGGAGTGCTCAAAATACACATGCCCACAGCAGCACTGTCCAGGGAGCGCCTGGTCTGATGGGCCGGGTGGGGCCCTGGCTTACACAGTTTGAAAAAGAAATTTCCTCGGGGACTGGAGAGGTGGCTCAGCAGCTAAGAGCCATTATTGATCTTGCAGAGGATCCATGTTCGGTTCCCAGCACCGACATGGAGGCCAACTCCAACTGTAATTCCAGTTCCAAAGATCCAGTGGCCTCGCCGCCTTCTCCGGCACTGCGCACGTGTAGCGCACAGACAAAACGCTCATAAAATAAAAGCAAACACATCTTTAAAAACAACAAATAGAGCCGGTGGCACAGGCCTGTAATCCCAGCGCTCCGGGAGGCAGAGACAGATGGATCTCTGTGAGTTTGAGGCCAGCCTGGTCTACAAAGACCCCGATAGAAGGCCCGAGTTTAAACTGAGCGCACTTCAGTTGAAAATCCCTCAGCTGATCCGCCTTGTAAGATTCGCCATAGCAAAGTGGCGTCACCGACCACTCAAGACCAGCGCAGTGAGCTTTTCCCTTCTTGTGTAAATCGCTGAGTGGGAAGATGCTGTCTGTCAGCCAGGGAGCTATTTTTGAGTCAGAAGCAAACGCTGTCACCGGTAGTGATGTCACCACACACCTCGGGATGAGACGAGCAAGGCTCTAGGATCCCAGGGCTGGAGCTGCAGTCACTGTGACCTGCAGCCAGTGACCGTTTGTGGAGCTGGAAGGTAGAGGCATGCAGGCACCAGGACACAAGGTTGGGTGCTTATTTCCTGGTGACTCGTGTGCTTTTCATGTGGGACACGGATGCGCCTGGAACTGTGAGAGCACTTCATGCAGGTGCGCGATGTGGGGCTGGCTCAGGGCAGTGACCCAAAGACAGAGTGGGGCAGGATTTGAAGACAGGTCACGAACAGCGTGGCCAGACTGCTTTCCGGGCTGTGCTATTTATGGCATGTGGGTAGGAGTACCCACACCATCTTTTTTGGCTTATTTGCCCGTGGGAAAAAAAAAAAAAAACAACAAACGTTTCTGCTTTCTTTTCATTTGGCGCTAGACAGCAGGCACTGAGCTCTCCTGCTGCTCCCTGAGTATTGGCTTTCATTTTTATTTGTTTATTTATGTGTATCATGTGCTGTTGCCCTAGCTGCCCCCATCATTTGAAGGTTAGACACCCCCCCCCCCCCATCTAATATTCTGAGCACTTTAGAGCCGGGAGGTGGAGGGATCACGCTGGGGCTGACCAGGAGCCTCCCGCTGGACGCCTGGCTCTCACAAGACTGGAAGGCGCTGTGCAAGCTGCCAAGGGAGCAAGGCTGTCAAGTGTCTTATCCAGCTGAAAAGCCTATAAACTACCAAGACTGGAAGGGGCCAGCTGTTCTCAGCAGTGCACTAGCGGCATTAAAAAAAAAAAAAGATTTATGTATTTTTATTTTATGTGTGTGGGTGTTTTGCCTGCATGTTTGTCTATGTACCATGTAGGTGCCCAGAAGCTGGAGGAGGGCATCAGATCCCATGAAACTGGAGTTGTAAATAGTTGTTAGCAGCCATGTGGGTGTTGGGAATCAAAGCCAGGTCCTCTAGAAGATTGGCTATTGCTCTTAATCGCTGAGCCGTGTCTCCTACCCCAATAGTGGAGAGATGGCATTCATGTATGTGTATATGTGTGTATGTATGTATGTATGTGTGTGTGTGTGTATGTATGTGTCTATGTGTATGTGTGTATAATATGTGTGTGTGTGTATGTATACATGCATGTATGTACGTGTGTATGTATGTATTATAATAGTGGCACTCCTATCTTGGTGATAACCATCTTGGACTTTAAGGCCCACTTAACAGGAGGGAATTCAAACCTGGCGCTGTAAACCTAGGCAATTACCTTGCTAGTGTGGTAATAGATGCTAGAGGAGAACTCACTACTGCTATTTTTTTTTCTTTTTAATTTTATTTACCTTATTTTTTGTGTGTTGGTGTTTTGCCTGCATGCATGTCTGTGTGAGAGTGTCAGATCTTGGAGTTATAGACAGCTGTGAGCTGCCATGTGGGTGCTGGAATTTGAACCCAGATCCTCTGGAAGAGCAGTCAGTGCCCGTAACCACCAGGCCATCTCTGCAGCCCCCACTTTTCTAGATTAGTATAATTCCTAACTATGCGCCAAGTGCTAAGTAGCTATCCTTGTACCCAGAGATACATGCATCATCAGAGAAGCTGCTTCTACAACAAATGGAGACTGAGACCCACAACTAGTTAAAATGCAGAAAATAAATGACTGTGGGTGTCAACGCCCAACAGATACATCTGTAATCCAACCCACACATAAGGCTCAGAGAAACACTACAGAAGAAGGGGCACAACCAGTCAGGAGCCCAATCCACCTGATCCCAGCTTTCCTGTGGTGTGTGTGTGTGTGTGTGTGTGTGTGTGTGTGTGTGTGTGTGTGTAGAGGCAGGAGAGAGAGACAGAGACCATAGACCTGTGCTACTTTTCTTTTAAAAACAAATGTGTGTAGGCAGCTCTAAATGGGATGTGTCCATTAAATCCCTCTCCTCAGAGATCAGGGAACTGAGGGGAAGAGGAGGCAGGAAGAGTGTTAGAATCAGAGGGGATGGAGGACACAGAAGAACAAGGCCCTGATCAACTGAGCAAAGCTCATGAGAACTCACAGAGACTGAAGCAGCAGGCACAGGGCCTACATGGGGCCGCATAGGTCCTTAGCATATACAGTACGGCTTCCTGGTTAGTGGGGTTTGTTTGTTTGTTTTTGGTTTTTGGAAATAGTTTCTCTGGGCAGCCTTGGCTGTCCTGGACTCACTTTGTAGTTTGAGGCCAGCCTGGTATAGAGAAAGTTTCAGTTAAGAAAAGCTTAGGTCCAGGCATGGTGGTACACGCCTTTAATCCCAAAAAATGAAGGTAAAGTTAGTTTGTAGAAGGAAGCACCCATGTTTGAAAGTGATGTCTAAAAATACCACAATTTCTATGTCCATTTCTCCTTTGAGGGACATCTGGGTTGTTTCCAGGTTCTGGCTATTACAAATAAAGCTGCTACAAACATGGTTGAGCAAATGTCCTTGTTGTGTACTTAAGCACATTTTGGGTATATGCCTAGGAGTGGTATAGCTGGATCTTGAGGTAGCACTATTCCTAATTGTCTGAGAAAGCGTCAGATTGACTTCCAAAGTGGTTGTACCAGCTTACATTCCCACCAGCAATGGAGTAGGGTTCTCCTTTAGGCAGAGTGCAGGGAATCATATGAAAGAAGGGGAGTTTGTATGACGTGGAAAGGATAGGAGCTCCACAGGACCAAATATATCTGGGCACAGGGGTCTTTTCTGAGACTGACACTCCACCAAGGACCTTGTATGGATGGAACCTCTGCTCGGATGAAGCACGTGGTAGCTCAGTAACCAATTGGTTGTCCTTAGTAAGGGGAACAAGGACTATTTCTAACAGGAACTCAATCGCTGGCTCTTTGACCTCCCCACCCCCCAAGGGAGGAGCAGTCCTGTTAGGCCACAGAGGAGGACTTTGCAGCCAGCCCTGAAGATACCTAATAAAACAGGGTCAGATGAAAGGGGAGGAGGTCCTCCCCTATCAGTGGACTTGGAAAGGGGCAGGGAGATGAGGGAGATGAGGGCAAGGAGATGAAAGGGGAGGAGGTCCTCCCCTATCAGTGGACTTGGAAAGGGGCAGGGAGCTGAGATACAGAGTTAATAAAATGTAACTAATAATAATAATAAAATATTGTAATTAAAAAAATAAAAATAAAATAAAAAGGAAACTGATGTCTAATTGAGTGGTAGAAATAGTGATGAATCAGAGAAAGTTGACAGAATAGGATACGCCCAACTCTTATGAGAAAAAAGAGGAAAGGGAAGCTACTTAAGGGGCAATGAGAGAGAGAGAGACAGAGACAGAGAGAGGAAGGGAGGAAGGGAGAGAGGGGAAACTTTACGGAGACAGTAATGGAGAGATGGTGTTGCAGAGAGAGAACTCAGGTGAAGACCAAATGAGCCAGAAAATGAGGAGCCAGGAGATTAGAGCAGATTGTTGGAGATAGTTTGAGAGAAAAGCCAGATTGAATAAATTATCTGGAAGAGGAGTTTGAGCCAGAACAGCTGAATTGAACCAGCTAGCCCAGAGCTCAGCATAAACAGAAAGGGTGAGCTTATTCAGCAGTAGGTCTCAGAGGCTGAAAGCATTCTAGGCCTAGTTTAGACTGTACAGAGGCTAGAAACTTCCAGGACTAGGTCTAAGTTAGCAGACAGGCAGTTAGCCTCCCAGATGACAATTGAATCAGGCAAATAAAAGCTCTTTTTCAGAGAGCCACTGAGAAGAGTTCAGGGGGAGAGACTATGAGCAAAATACATATTGTGTGAGAACAGGGTCTATTTTTAATAAAAGGGGAAATTTTGTGTGTAGGGGCAAGTGTGTGCGGCAATGAGAAGACAACTATCTGTGGAAGCTGGTTCTCTCCTTTCACCATGTGGGTTCCAGGACCAAATCAGGTTGTCCAGAGTATAGGTAAGCATCTTGCCTGCTCAGTTATTATTATTATTATTCCGGCTCTCACTGTACAGCCTGGAGCTCAATATGTAGCCCAGGCTGGTCTCAAACTCAGGATCTTCCTGCCTTAGCGTATGGCGTGCTGCATGTGCCACCCTGTCTGTCTTCTGTAGCTTTGACAAATGCACGATGTCACTTATCTTCCATTACAGTATCAAACAACAGTTTTACCCCCCGTAGCCTTGTGCTTAGCCTGTTCATTGCTGGCAGCCTCCAGCCACCCATTACCAACTCCCGAATGCCGCTGCTTCTCACTTTCTCCATCCACGTTTCCTTTCCCAGAATGCCATATAGTCAGATGCACACCGTCGGTAACCTTTCAACCTGACTTTTCATGGGCACTTAGGGTTCTCTGTGTCTTTTTGTGGCCTGGCAGCCCACTTCCTTTTGGTGTTTGGTAATATTTCATTGTACGGATGCTCCAGCTTGTTTTTATCCACAGGAACAGCTTTCAGTCTTCCCGTTTTTCATAGTGATAGAGGCTATTATAAATGTTTGTGTGCAGATGTCTATCTGGGCATAAGCTGGGCGGACAGCGTGCTTGTGTTTACTTTGTAAAACCCCGTCAAATTGTTCAGTCCCACCAGTTTCTGAGGTTCTACAGCCTTGCCAGAATTTGGTATAAATTTAAAATTTTTAGTCATTTTAATACATTTGTATAATGTCATTGTTATTTTAATTTGTATTTCTGGATGACATAATATTGTTGTGTTTGTCAACTGTTTATTTTTTATCAGATCGATTCATGTTATTTTAAGTGTGAGAGTTTTGCATATATGTACATGCTTTATGCCCAAGAATGTCAGAAGAGGGTGTGGGTGCTGGGAATCAAACCCAGGTCCTCTGGAAGGGCAGCTAGCGCTCATAACCTGTGAGCCGTCTCTCCAGCCCCCAACCCGACGATTGTTTTCCTTTGGTGGACGTCTGCTCCTTCGGCAAAGCTAAGCTGGGTTTTGGGGTGAGAGGCACTTTTTGTAAGCGTAGCTGCCACTGCTCATTGAAGAAGCCTCTCCTTGCCGGGCGCAATGCAGAGGACACACTGTGGGGAGCCCGCCTACGCCACGGTGCCTGCATCCGAGGTCCAGGAAACATCCCCGAAGCAGGGCAGAAAGATCTTAAGGGCCAGAAGACCAGGAAGTTTGCCGTGAAACCGTCTCTCCTAGAAATGGCTGGATAAACAAGATGGAAGCAATGAGAATATCCGTGGAAATGTTAAGGTGGAGCAGCCGCCCGCTCCGGACAAAGAACGGCAGCCACTGCTGATGGCTGACACTCGGCAGGTTGTATTTATGTGTAGTTGTGCTTACGCACATACTTACATACACATGTGTTAACAATAAGAATAGAAAAAGAGGCCACCGACTTGAGAGTGGGAAGACGTGGAAGGGGATTGACAGCCTGTGAGGAGGTGGAGGAGGGAAAGGGAGGCTCTTTTTTTTTTTTTTTTTTTTTTTTTTTTTTTTTTTTTTTTTTTTTTTTAAGATTTCGATTTTATTTTCTTAGTGTTTTGCTTGACATATGTGTGTGCAATGTGCAAGCAGTGTTGGGTCCCCTGGAATTGGAGTTACAGGTGGTTGTAGTTGCCACGTAGATGCCGGGAATCAAACTTGGATCCTCTGGAAGTGCTCTTAACTGCTGAGCCATCTCTCCAGCCCCTAAAAGTGATATACCTCCATTTCAATTAAAAATATTTTAAGGGGAAAAAAGTATTCCAATTAGTTTTATGTTTGTGGATCTATTGCTGACTATCTCTACTCCACCATCTTTGGCGGATTTGTCCATTCTTAGGTCAACACCTTGTTGTCTTGCTTATTCTAAGGAAGCCTGGGCGTGCTGGAGGTGTACCCAGTGGCTCGGTGCTTGCCTGGGGTGTGTTTGAGGTTCCAGGTTCTCTCCTAGCATTGACTCCACCCAGTGGTGAAGCCAGAGGGGGTGAGTCTTCAGACTTTGCTGTTCTTTAGTGCTGTATTGTCCATTCGGATTCCTTTGTTTACTGCAAAAATTTCAGAATCGATTTGTCCATATCCCCTAAATGATTTGCTGGCTTTTATTAGGATTGTGTTGACTCTATAAATGAAGTTAGAAAGCAGTGGCATATTGACAGCAACAGTCTCCAGTCTGTGAGCACGAGCTGTGATTTATTTAGGCCTTGGGTTTCTTTCATTGGTTTAACGTATTCTCCTTAGAGGTCTAATTCTTTATTCCCTCCCTCCCTCCCTCCCTCCCCCCTTTCCTTCCTTCAGTGTTATGGTGAATGGCACTGTATTTTAAATTTCAAATAAAAATTTTTTGTTGCTGAAATACAAGAAAGCAGTTTATCTTTTGTACATTAATCTTCATCCTAAAGCTTTCCTGTAAACATTTACTGGTTCCAGTAGTTTTCATCCCTATGTGCTATTTACATCATAGATTTGGTAATAATAAAATATTGTGCTTCTCCCATTATGTCAATAGCATTTTTCAATGTCATCTAAAATCTTCTTGGCTGCATGTGTGTGCATTGTGTGTGTGTGGTGCCTGGGGAAGCATCTGTTTCCCTGGAACTGGAGTTACAGATGGTTGTGAGCCATCATGTGGGTGCTGGGAATTGAACCTGAGTCCTCTGCACGAGCAGCAAGTACTCTTACCAATTGAGCCATCTCTCCAGCCCCCATCTAAAATTCTTAAAACATTTGTAATGGCAGTAACATATCTCATTGGATCATAATTTCTTTCTTCCTTCCTTTTTCTTTTCTTTCTCTTCTCTCTCTCTGACAGGTCTTACCATGTGATTCTGTCTGGCCTGGAACTTGCAGCGTAGACCAGGCTGGTCTTAAACTCACAGTGCAGGGACTAAAGGCACGTGCCAGCACGTACAGTTTGGCTCATGATTTTATTCTACCTAGCAAAATGCCCTCTAAGAGCAGGTGAGATGGCCTGCCACCAAGCCTGACACCTGGGGTTCAATCTCCAGGACCCAAAGGAAACGAACTGACTCCTGAAGGCTGTCCCATGACCTCCACCTCCACCTCATTCCCAAATACAACTAATGCAATACAAAACTAAAATATGGCTTTCAAGTAAAGATCTAATTCATTTTTATTACCTTAATAACATTTTTCACTAGTCTTGTTCTCTCAGAATTTGTATGCTTCTACTGGTATTTTCAGTTTCCTTTCAATCTTAACATAATGCACTCTAATATTTTTTAAACTATTCAATAGTTAACCCTCATTTATCTAGATTTTTCCATCAAATTGATTCTAGTTTTGTGTCTTCTTAAAGAAAAAAAAATCATTGGCTAGTTTCTCACCTAGATTCCAGAGTGGATGTTGTCTGGTCAGGGGAGCGGGCCTTCCAAACCCCACTTTGCTTGCAGCAGTTTGAGCACCTAACAGATTCTGAAGGGTAATCCCATAGGAGCAGCCACTGAACTGAAGAACTGCTTCCCTGTTCGGAAGTTACCACTCCTGCCTCAGCCTTGAAGAGGATGTGGGTGGGGAAGTTCCCTGCTTGTAGTGGCTACGTGCTCACATGGCCTATAGGCCGAGTGCCTACAGCTGGGCAGCTCCGATCTCACGAACTGGCACTGTATTCACCTAGCAGACACTCTGCCAGTCGGGTCAACAGCAAGCCTTGCCCAGTGCACATGAGGGAATACAGTGTACCAACAATCAACCATTGAGGTCACTAGGGAACTACTTTAACTTTAAATTTTAGCCAGGTGCAGTGGCACATGCCTGTAATCCCAGCACTCGGGGAGGCAAAGGCAGGTGGATCTCTGAGTTTGAGGCCAGCCTGGTCTACAAAGCGAGTCCAGGACAGACAACTCTACACAAAGAAACCCTTTCTCAAAAAACAAAAACCAAAGAATTTTACATTTTAATCATATACATAAAAAAAATATACTCAGCTGCTGGTAGTAGCACACACCTTTAATCTCAGCATTTGGGAGGCAGAGGAGGGTGAACCTCTGAGTTTGTGGCCAAACTGGAGATGGCTCGGAAGTTAAAAGTACCTTGAGGACTGTTCTAAGGACTGGGGTTCGGTCCTCAGCACCCAAATAAATGGGTTACAACCACCTGGAATTCCAGGCCCAGGGGATCTGACAGCTCGAAGGACACCTGAACACATGATATGCATAAAGTCACATAGGTACACATATAAACATAAGTGAAAAGAAATACTAAAAAAATGTATTCAGGGGCTGGAGAGATGGCTCAGTGGTTAAGAGCACTATTTGCCCTTCCAGAGGTCCTGAGTTCAATTCCCAGCAACCACATGGTGGCTCACAACCATCTCTAATGGGATCTGATGCTTTCTCCTGTCATGAAGGAATACATGCAAATAGAGTGCTCATGTGTGTAAATAAATCTTTTATGAAAAAAAAAATATTCAATAACTGTACTAACCAAAACAAGTTCTGAATATGAAGTTTCCCCTTAACATGTGCTAATGGTATGCCCTCTCAACTGTAAAACCAGTTCTGTGTACTCTGCTCAGTGCTTCATGTTTTGGAAACAGAAAACAGATCCTTCCTGTCTAGTCCTGCTTCCTGAAGATAGCTAGGTAGGAATACTTACAGCGGGGCACAGTGGCACACACTTTTGAGTTCCAGTACTCAGGAGCGAGGGGCTGGTTAAGTTCTGTTTGAGGCCAGCCTGGTCTATACGGTGAATTTCAGACCAGTCAGAGACTGTCTCAACAAAACAAACACACCCACCCCATGCAATATAAAGATATACCCTTAACGAACATAGACTAAACTACTAAAAGACAGCAGGAGGTGCAGCTCAGCAGCATGCAGCATGCTGGGTTCAGGCCCCTGGAGCAACAATAAAAAACCAACAGTCTGAAGTTCAGTCAAGGCATCTTTTAGTATGGTTTTCCAGAGAACTGAGCTCAGGACTGTCCCATGGGAACAAGAGTGTTAACAGACATGATAACTCAGTCTCACATGACCAACTCAACATAGTTTCAAAGTCAGCTCCCAAGTCTGAGTTGATTCATTAAGCCACATTGATTGAATTGGAGCCTATGTTCCAAAACGCAACAGGACGTGCATTTCTGTAAACAAATGTATGTAGATGGCGAACACTTCCAGCCTGCATGTACTAAGGTTTAATACTTCAGTACAGAGGGAGAAAACACAAGACACAATGGTTTCCAAAAGCACTGTTTTATTTATACAGAGTCCTGACCAGTCACGTGGCAGGAGGGGTGGGAGAGGTTCCATCTTCAACCCAGGGATTGGTCTGTTGTTACCAAACACAGGCAAGTGGCATCATGATTTGGTAAACTGATGACAGCTCAGTCTCTCTCTGCTAGAGCTACAAGGTGCGCGTCAATCTCAGCTTCTGTAAGAACCCTAAAAGGTGAAGATACAAACCACAGCTATGTGAAAACTTTCTTTTATTATGAAAAATTTCAAACATACAAAAGACAGTGCAACAAACTCCCACAGGTCACTAACTTCAGGAAGTACCAATTTATAAGCAGCTTTTAAGTCTATATGCCCAAGACTCTGCCCTAAGAATACACTGCAGCAACTCTCAGACAGCATGTCAACTCCATTACATAGGCACATGATCTCTGATATCAGATCCAGCATTTAATTGTAGCTAAGGGCGAAAACATCTCAATTAAATTAATATAAAGCTGTCACACAAGCATGTTCAATTTAGTTTGGGTGTCAATGCCCTAAAACCTAATACAACTGAAATGTGAATTAACTGAGTGATGAGACAAGCAAATTTTAAGAGCTGTCGGGGGACGGGAGCTGAGAATACCATGCAGTGAACAGAGCACCTTCTGCATGAGCACGAGATGGGCATTTGGATCCCGACATGGGCAGGCATGCCTACAACTCCAGAGCTCAGAAGGAAGAAGGCCAGATTAACTAGCTGAGTCAGCAAGCACGTGAGAGCTCCTCCTTCAGTGTCTAAGGAGGAGGACACCATCAAACTGTAGCCTCTCAACACATGACAAAACAAACAAAACCCTGCTTGGATTCAGTAATATCTCCACGAAATAAAGGGGTAAGACTATTCCAACCCACTCACCAGAAGACAGTCCATGTGGCACATACAAATGTCTGCCTTAAACCACTGGGTCCCACTGCTATGACCCTTTAATACAGCTCCTCATTATGGTGGTGACCCCAACTGTGTGTGACCCCCAAATTATTTCTGTTGCTACATCATAACCATAATTTTGCTACTGTTACGAATTGTAATGTAAATATCTGTTTTCTGAAAGTCTTAGGCAGCCCCTGTGAAAGGGGTTGCAACCCACAGTTGAGAACCGCTCCCTTAAAGGAATCAGTTGCTTGGCAACACCTAGACATGACCTATCTCTGCTGGGATTCTGTCTGCGCTTTGAGACAAGGTCCCATAACTTACGTAGCCTAAGCTGGCCTGATCTTATTATGTAGCCCACAATGAGCTTGAACTTCTAAGATATGGAATTAGAGATATGTGTGAGCATGCCCGACTTCACTACTAAACTTCTAAAATTAGGTAGATTTGTCTAAATGATTTGACATTTTTTTACAACTTGGAGAAAGACATAGTTTACAAAGTTGTAGAATCTCATGCTATTTCTGTAGTTCTTTGTTATTACTCAAGTATAGTTATTCTCTCAGAATTTAGAAATTATACAAGCCCCACCCCCTTCCTAGTACTGTGAGTAAAGCTGGAGGTTTTCTGCTGCTGATTAAGTTACAGTCATAACTTACAGTTAATAGTTATATTCTCAGCCTTTAAAAATCATTTTAATGGCAGGTGGTGGTGGTGCACACCTTTAATCTCAGCACTTGAGAGGCAGAGGCAAGGAGGATCTCTGTGAGTACAAGGCTAGCCTGGTCTAAAGAGCTAGTTCTAGGACAGTCAAGGTTTCACAAAGAAACTCTGTTTCAAAAAACAAAACAAAAGTTTTTGTTTTGACACAGGTTTCACTAGGTTCTCAGAACTGACCTTGAACCTACGATCCTGCCTCAAGTGCCCAATAGTTGAGATTGCAGTCCTGGGGACAGCATCCTGCTGCCTAGCTACAATGGTTTGCTTACACAGATACTTGGTTTCTTGCTCAATTTTAAAATAAGATGCAAATAACATTCAGATGTAGTAAAAAGGTTTCATAAGAGATAAGAAAGCAAAGCGCCTGTTGGAATTTCAGTGATAAAAAGGAAGCCAGATGGGTGTGGTGGACTGTAACTCCAGTCCTGGGGACTGAGGTCAACTAGACTCAAGAAGAAACAAACAACAAAAAGGAAACTTTCTTGTACAGAAAAAAAATTATTAGGCTAGATGCAACTGCTGTTTTCTTAATTCTGTGCGGGTTTCCTGTTGTGTCACCCGCAGACAACCAAGAAAGCAGACCTGAAGGGGGAAAAGGACATACGACTGAAGTCTGCATGGAAGACCATCTGCAACCTAAACATGTGGGAGGCTGAGGGAGGATCCAAAGTTCAAACCCAGTTTGGACTACATCCCAAGACAGTGTCACAAACAAAACAAATTAAACATGCCACTGAACCACTCTTCAAGGCCTGAAACTTAGCTTACCAATTCCCCGCCAACAACGACCACAGAAGTGGACTAGGAGGAGGCGCCCAACAGGTAAACACCTCAGCAGCTCGTTGTACCTGTGCATTTATGATGTCACAGAGGCATCCTAGTCCAAAGCAGACAAAGCACCCGACAGTTTGCTAGGACAGGCTGACTGATGTAAGCGACCAGCACGCTTGGACCATGCAAGCCGATGTGTGGAGGCTAAGGCATAGCTGGGTAGTAACGTACAAGCAACTGTGCACTAGCGTTTCCTATCGCCCTGTGGAGCTCCCTGACATGGTAACCAGTTCCACCAGAGAATTCCTACTTTGGAATGGCTTCTATTGGCTTTAAATGAAAAACAGAAGCCTCAAGTCCTTCCCGCCTGTTTGTCTCCTTATGTGTGTGTCTAGGGCAGTGTGCACTCAGGCCAGTACTTGGCCAAGCTGCATTTGCTCATTTCACTTCTTGTATAAAGGTTAACTTCTGTGTCATCTCTGGTGTTGGAGATAGTTACTTGGAAGAGGGAGAAAACTTGCTTTTGTTTTAAGAGACTTCAAACAAGGTTTTGTTTTTACAGTGCTAGGATTGAACACATGACTCTAGAACATGTGGGCTAAGCACCTTTCTGCATAGCCACCCTTTAGTCATTTGTTTTTATGAGACAGGATTTTTAGTGATATGGGCCAGGCTGGCCCTTGACTTTGTAATCTCTGCAATGCTGAGACTACAAGTATGAACCACTAATTCTAAGAAGTTTTGGAATAGATCCCTCAGATACTGTGGAAAAAGAGAGAGAATCCCATCTCATCACCGTATCACCATGTACAAATACATATAACATGAAGGAACCCTGGCTTTTTAAGTCTAGAATTTAACACATGGCTAAAAACACAACTCACCTGAATTTAGGGTTTTCAACTGTAACTACTCCAACTTCTATTTCTGAAGGTTTGAAATCAATCGATAGAACAGTAGACAGGCATGTAATTGCAGTCTGAAAAAAAAATGTCAGCATTAAAGCAGAATGCTTTCCAGCTACCAACAGTCCCTAACCCAAGCTTATTAGTAACACAAGACACTTGCTTCCGTGTTTTAGTGACACAGTCCTACAGGGATGTTACCATCAAACTGCTGACATAAACCTACTTCTATTAAATAGCCATAAATTAAAGGAGCTTATCAAACAACATAGATAGAGTACATAAAAATTTATTTGTAGTCCAGTGTAGTGGTGCACACCTTTAATCCCAGCATTTGGGAAACAGAGGCAGGTAGATCTCTTCATTTGAGGGCATCCTGGTCTACGGAGTGAGTTTTAGGACAGCTAGGGCTAGCTACACTGAGAGACCATGCCTCAAACAATCAATCAAAATCATTTGCTTGATGACCAATATAAACAGAACTACATTTAACACGTGGTGTAAAACAGACTATCACTCAGATTGATGACTGTACCTTTAAAATGTTTATGGCAAATTAAAAATGTTCTAAATGAGCCAAGTGTAGTGGCACACTCCTGTGATCCCAGCACTCAGGGAGGCAGAGGCAGGAGGATCTCTGTGAGTTCAAGGACAGCCTGGTCTACAAATCAAGTCCAGTACAGCCAAGACTACACAGAGAAAGCATGTCTTGAAAACTTTAAAAAGAGAAAAAAAAAAAAAAAAAGATTCTAAATGGTTTTATATCTGATGTGATTAATATAACTATAAATTATAATTTAAGAAACATTTAAAGAAGGCATACTAGTCTATATTGTAGATAAGAACTAACTTATTTTATCTTTCTTTCAGTATAAGAAATTATTAAACAATTATAAATTTATTTATCTACATTTTGAGAAAAGGCCTTGCTTTGCAGCCCTTCCTGGCCTGGAACTAACGATGTAAACCAGGCTGGCCTCAAACTTACAGTGATCCTAACAACTCTGCCTCCCTCATGCTGAGATTACAGATGCACACCATCATAGCCAGTTTATAAAAGTTTTTTTTAAGTGTATGCAGGTGTGAACGTCAGAGGACAACCTCGAAGACAGGGTTTCTCAGTGGTCTGAACTGACCACACCAGGTGGGCTGGCTGACAATGCTACTATGGGAAACATGTGCCACAGTAAGTAGGTTCTACATGTTTGCAATGTAGGTTCCGAGCTGAGATCTTGTTTACAAGATAACAGCTTTATCAACTGAGCTCCTTCCAGGCCTCTGCACACACATCCTTTTACTAGGAAACAATGTGCTTTCCAAGAACTTGGTTTGTAGCGGCTCTTATTTAGGACTATGGATCAGCACGACAGCTCAGTGGGTAAAGGTGCTCACTACCAAATCTAACAACTTGAGTTAGATCCCTGGAATCCTGTGGCAGAGAAGAGCCGACTCCTGAGAACTGGTCTTGACTTCTGTGAGTATCATGGCAGATGCAGACACACATGCATGCAAACACATAAAAACAAAATCTTTTTTTTTTTTTTGAAAACAGGGTTTCTCTGTGTAGCCCAAAAACAAATGTTAACAATTATTACCAAATCTTAAGTGTTTACTTTTGTTATACAAAAAGTTTAAACCCAACGATTCTATTAGTCATGACTTGATTAATCTATTAACCATGACTTGATTCTTATTTTCCCATTTTGTGTTTACTGACTATTGTTTGACATATATTAAGATAGAAATAAATGAATAAAAGCAGCCACCCTTTCAACCCAGGCCAGCTGAATGACATCAACTGTGCCACTAAACTAACAAACCTGGATCTTGTAACATCATTAAGAACTAGCTTTCATCAATAACACAACAATCACTCTTCCAGAGCAGTAAAAAAAGCAACTCCCTTTTGGCTAACTTACTTCCACTGTTTGTTCAAATGTCCAATCAAATTTCTTCTTCACTTTTTTCTCAAGGAAGCTGGTTGATTCTGTCTGTTTGACTCCTGCCGCCGTGGCTTTAAAGCCACAGTAGTAGCCTGCGGGGTCACACTTGTACACTTGAGGGCCTTGTTCTTCATCTATACCAATTAAAATCATACCTAAAAAGAGAGGCTCCAATTAAGACTGTCATATAGTTGTTGTTAATCATTATTTCAGTCACTAATTTTAAGCTGACTTGTTTTTCTAAAACTGTTAAAATGTAGCTTTATTAGCACTGATAAATTAGATAACAGGTAAGTTGATTTGAAACAGGACATATCAGGTTGTTGTTTTTAACAGGTTCAGCTTTTTATTGAACATGTTAAGTTTATTCAAATGACCAAAATTCATGCCATCACCAGTCTCCTCAGATCCATCTTTGTGACAATTAAAATTCATTTTCAAAATAATTCCTGAATACAGAGGACACAATAGAAAGAGAAGGGACAGAAGCTATAAATTAGGGAGAAAATAACAGCAATAAGCCAATGAGAAGGTGACAGGAGAGGAGGGAATAGATACTCTGAACAAAACTTGATGACTTAATGAGATGACCAGAGCGAGTGGACGACTATACAAGAGAAGGTGCATGTACACAGTTATGACTCAAGAGTGTCCAAAGCGTCTGAGACACGGAAGAACTGGGTTAAGAAACCAGGTAAACAACTAGCACAGAGGTGAGGTAGTAAGTGAAGCCTCTTGGGGTCATTAACCAGGCAGCAAAGAAGAAAGGGAAGGCCCGAGAACAAAGCCTGAGAAGCAACAACATTTAAGGAACCCACAGAGGAGCATGAACAAAAGAAGCTAAGCAGAAGAGAGCACTAGGCAACACCCATACCCTGAGCTAGCACTTGGGGGCTGGGGACCACAAATCCAAGGGGGCCTCAACTACTCTAAGACCCTATGAGTACGGGGTGGGGATGGGATCAGAGACTGGAGAGACGGCTCAGCAGTTAAGGAGCACTGGTTGTTCTTCCAGAGGACCGGGGTTCAATCCCCAGCAACCATGTGGCAGCTCACAGCCATCGTTGATACCCTTTTCTAACCTCCACAGGTGCCAGGCACACATATGGTGCACAGAAATAATACATGCAGGCAAAATACCAAACATTAAGAAAATAAGAGGTAGCTGGGATACAAAGTGAATAAACTGTAATTAATATAAAAAAATAAGAGGTCAAAGGAAATCTAGTATTTAAGAGGTCAACAGAATCATATGCTAAAAAGAAACATTTAATTCTCTTTTTTTTTCTTTCTTTCTTTCTTTTTTTTTGAGACAGCGTTTCTCTGTGTAGCCTTGGCTGTCTTGGACTCACTTTGTAGACCAGGTTAGCCTCGAACTCACAAAGATCCGCCTGCCTCTGTCTCCCGGAGTGCTGGGATTACAGGTGTGAGCCACAGCACCTGGCTAACATTTAATTCTCAGAGCAAGACCTGTGGCTCTATTGCAGAGCACTTGCCTAGCAAACACAGCCCTGGCTGTGAGCTCTAGCATCTCAAAAAAAAAAAAAAAAAAAAAGGAAGACTGGAGGACTGGGACATTTCATTTTCATTAATGAATGATGTTAAAAACAACTATGATGGCAGATGCATGCTTTTAACCCTAGCACTCAGGAGACAGAGGCAGGCAGATCTCAGAGTTGGAGGCCAGCCTAGTTTATAGAGCAAGTTCCAAGACAGCCATGGCTACACAGAGAAACCCTGTCTCAAAAAAACAAAACCAAAAAAGCCTCTATGTTATCCCAATTCTTTACCCTATGATCAAAAGTGGCACTGACACTGTTAAAATGCCTGCTAAAGCTTCACAGAATTAATCATCTGAAAGTACAGAAGAACCCCATTACAACAACCTAATCAAATGGGACTTTCAGATCACATATTCTAAACAGAAATATTTTGATTAAAAAAAAAATTAAAAACAGAACTCAAAGCTGCAATTTCAAAATACATGTTCAGAACCCAAGTATGTCCTCAGTTTCTTTATACAAGCTCTCTAAAGACAATTAAAACTCAATTCTTTAGAAGACTTCTGAGCATACTTACAACAACCAAGCGGCCTCATTTCAGCATTCTGTGTGTAGACTTGAGAAATAT